CAGAATACGCCGTTTTCCCAGAATTCCCATATTACTGTAATTATCGTAATTCCGGGAATTCCTGGAATTCCGCCGGTAAACCCTAATTTGGAGTTCCCGGGTCACGAAGGCCATCAGGTCACGTTTCCGGTCTCACAACGTATAAGATATATAATAAACTTTTTTTTTTATCGTGAATTGGATCGTTCGAAGAAACCAATGACCTAAAACAATCTTTTCATTCAGGTTAAATTATAACTAGCCATTATGTTTTTTTCTTGTACCCACGAGGGTGAAAGGATATAAGAGTGTGTTATAATGTTGTTATTAATTTTATTTTACACGTACGGATGAAAATATATTAGATCAACAACATATATACATACGAATCAAGGTATTATTATACATATACGATCAAGGTATTATTAATTTTACACATACTGATCAAGGTATTATCAGTTATTATTCATAAATATATACGAGATCAAGGTATTATTTAATCTATTATACGCGTACGGATTAAGGAGTTAAATAATTTCACTATTATACAGACATGGATCAGGGTATTATTAAATCTATTATACATATATAAATCAAAGTGTTATTAAGTCCACTATACAGATATGTTTTTTTTTTTTATGAATACAGATCAAAACGTTGATATTGACCTCGTTCTGGACTCATAAACTCGTGATTCACGAATGAAATGCCGTGAACGAATTCACGGGGCATTCATTTGTCACGAGATCGGGACCCATACCCATGACGACAAATGAGAGGTTAGTATGATGTATGGATAGTTTAATGAATCGTATTAATGAGTGATGGAAAAGTATGAGGTCGTAGAAGCTAGCTATATAAGGGGAAAAAATTGGAAATTTGTTCGCCCTCTTTCGTCTTTGTTGCTAGCTCGACACAAGTCTAGCTTTACCCTCTCCCCTACCGCTAGGGAAGAAATTGAGTTGTTGTAGATAGAATGATGTGTTGGAAGTAATGGGTATGGGTCTCGATAGCCCGGGTGTACAGCCAGGATATCTAAAGGAGAGTTTGATGGCCCGATTGAACAATTCGGATATCAAAGAGAGCGTAAAAAAAGTGTGTAAGAAAGAAAGAAGTGATGCTAGGAAATTAACTGTTGACCACGCGAGCAGTGAGGCGAGATCCCATATAGTGTATTTCGTAGTAGTGTTTACACGATCGAGTGACAAATTAAACCAAGAAGAGTACGCGAATTATTCGATTGAATTACTTATTCGAGTTTTGTTCGAGTAATTCGAGTCATGACAATTAATTTATTGATAATTTCAAGTTACGAAAACAAATGACTTCAAATACCGGGTTACACGAAGCAAATATGATTCAATTTTATACGTTATGTAAAAACAAGTATATTTCAATTTATTATAAAACAAATATCAATTACAAGTTACGAAAGCAATAAACCGATTCATAATTATATGACTGGATCGACTAGAATTATCCTGTGCTTACGGGCGAGATGGTTAATTTAAATTTGAAGCCCATCATTATATGAGTACCATTTTCTTCCTGTCATCCATTATAATTTCACAAGTGGAAGTGATAGCCCCTTTTCGAAAATATCCCGGACGAAACTTGGAGTAGATCTACTTTTAGACATATGGGTAGTTGTGTTTTGACATTCTCTTATTACAAAATTCCTCCCGTTCATTAGTGCTTTTGTTTTGCTTCATGTTTATATTATGAAATTGTTTTTAAGTCTTTTAAATTTCTTTATTTTTATTAAAAATTTGCGACTACAATAAATTACGTACGTAATTTATTTAAATTTTAAAGAATTAAATATAATTACTTAGAATTACGACATGTTTTTTTATGCAGCTTACAAAATTTATTAGTACTCGCGAGTTAAAAAATTATGATTCGAACTCGAATTATTCGAGTCACGAGTTGACGAGTCCAGTCACTAGATAAGTGTACGTAAAAAATCATCAACAATTACGCTTAAAATCTTGCCTTATTCTCAAGAATTTTCTGAATGTTTAAAAGCTGAATTTTGTTTATCTCGATTTAAGGCCATACACTTTAATTACTTGAAACTTTTAATATTTCATATGTAAAACTTATATAAAAAAATTTTTTTAAAACCCATCCAGTTATTAAAACACATAAAAATTTTTTAGAAGTTTTCAAATTTTGACCCGGCCGAGTTATGAAAACCAGTTATCGCAATCGATTGTATGTGATTGTACGTGATTGCACGTGATTGCATGCGATTTTTCAAAAATTATCTAATCAAATTCGATGAAATTTTTTTTTATTTGAATTCTAATATTCATTAAATTCAAATAAAAAAAAATTCATCGAATTTGATCTGTTGGTTACTGAGATATCAAAAAATATTAAAATGTTTATCATAAATAGAAGCTGCGCCAAATTTTTCCTAAAACTTGAGCGAAGATATCTCAGCAACCATCTAATCAATTTTTATGAAAATTTTTTATTGAATTTTATGAATCTATAGAATTCAAATAAAAAAAAAATTCATTAGGTGCTTGCTGAGATATTTTTGCTTAAAGTTTTTTTAAAAAAAACCAAATTCGCCTATAATACAAGAATGAAAAAATGTAGTGACTCAATGAGTTCTCGTTTATTTGAGCTAAAACGTCATGTTATTACGCAGTAATCATTTTTGACAGAACTTTTCAAATCAAGGTGGGTACCATGAATTTTCATCATAATATCTAATTATCAAAATAGAAGCTGTGCCAAACTTTTCCTAAAACTTTAAGCGAAGATATCTCAGCAGCCATCTGATCAAATTCAATAAATTTTTTATTTTATTTTATAAATTTGATTTTAAAAAAAAGCTAACCGTTTATTAAATAGAAACCGCGCCAAATTTTTCTCAAAACTTTGAGCAAAACAAAGATATCCCAGCAACTATTTGAATTCTGGATTATTTAATTCAATAAAAAAAAAAAAAAATTCATTGAATTTGATTAGATGGTTGCTGAGATATCTTCGCTTAAAGTTTTGAGGGAAATTTGGCGCAGCTTCTATTTTGATAATTAGGTATTATGATGAAAATTCATGGTACCCACCTTGATTTTGAAAAGTTCAGTCTAAAATGATTACTGCATAATAGCATGACTTTTAGAAAATATATTAAAATTTTGCTCTATAAAATCTTAGCTTAAATAAACGAGAACACATGGAGTCACTACATTTTTTCATTCTTGTATAATAGGCGAATTTGTTTTTTTTTGATTTTTTTTAAAAAAAAAAATTTGAGCGAAGATATCTCAGCAACCATCTATCCAAATTCGATGAATTTTTTTATTTATTTGAATTCTATAGATTCATAAAATTCAAATAAAAAATTTCTTAGAATTTGATTAGATGGTTGCTGAGATATCTTCGCTCAAAGTTTTAGGAAAAATTTGGCACAACTTAGACGATATTTTTAAAAACTTTGAACGAAGATAACTCAGCAACCACCTGATCAAGTTCGATGAAAGTTTTTTCATTTGTATTCTAGGGATCTATAGAATTCAGAAAAAAAAAAAATTCTTCAAATAGTTGCTGAAATATCTTTGCTCAAAGTTTTAAGAAAATCTTGGCGCAGCTTCTATATATGATAAACATTGCGAACTTTGAGCGGATCAAATTCGATGAATTTTTTATTTGAATTCTATAGATTCATAAAATTCAAATAAAAAAAAATTCGCCGAGAAATCGCGTACTATCACATACAATCACGTACTATCACCAATGATCTACAAATTTTCAAAAGTCACATCAATTTGCAAACAGCGATAATTAATTTTGCATGGCCTAATTGTCGTATGAAACAAAATACATTAATGCAAGTTTATTTAATAAGTTTAAAAATTATATGCAATGTAGATTAATAGGTAGTGAATTAGGAATATACGGATTAACTAAAAGTATGAATGATTATTTGATGGTACTTACTGCATATTTGCTGGTAGTGGAAGTCTTAATAAATTTTTAGAAAATAAATTTAAAGAACTTGGGAAGATAAATGATTGCAACTCATTGATATATCAAATGATTTAGTAAAATTCACAAAACAGGAATATAACAATGATTTTCATAGCGGAATTATACTTGCCACTTGAGTATATCCGTTGCCCTGGACACATGATTATACGTACGTACGTATGTACGGTAAAATAAATGATATTCATTATATATATTTATAATAGAGATATAAGCATTATAACTATATTTTTGTTATCTTAAACTCGGTTTAAAATAAATTAAATTTCGAATATATTAACGTATTGGGCTGAATAGAAATTCTTTATTTGTTGATTGTGTATCATGGATTTTCCCTGAATGTAAGAGCTAAAAGAGAAAATTAAAAAATAATTACACGAACGTAAAAATACGTGTTGAACAGAAATAAAATTTAAAATATGGCGTACTATCAGGTGTGATATAAATTGTAGATAATTCTGCGTCTGAAATAATAAAGGAGAATATATCGATATATATATTTTTTTGCTTTCATTACTTGATAAAATTTTTTTTATTCAATAAAAAAAGCTTCACAAGCATGATATAACATCTTATATATAAAGAACATAATATATAATACGCAGCAAGTCTAGTAAGCACATTGAATTATACATGAAATAATACAGTACTGTAATAACTGATAATATTCGCTCATATTTATACCTCTAAATTTGTGAAATAATCTAATCAAAAAGTTAAGATTGTAAATAAATAGAAGTCTAGTCAAGAAATTATATTTATCTATCTTATAAGTGTACATGAATTCTAAGATAAATATGTATGTATGTAAGACAAAATCACAGGAAATAAGATCATTGATGTATCTAAAAACTCATTCTGGTAAATAAATTGTGTTAAGGTTGCATCGATTTTTAAGTTGAATAAGTTATATATGACTAATTATATTGTTTCATGGACTCATTCAAAAACTGACAATGTTAAAATGTCAAAGGTTAATCTATTATTAAAGCAATTCTAAGAGTGTATCTTAGTTTTTAGATACTGTCACCAGGTGATAAAATTGAAGAATTATTAGATATTCCACTTTCATAATTGACCGATGTGTATGCTGTGAACTCTTCAATAGGTGATGTCAAAATTTGTAAAGCATCAACTTGGTTTGATGTACCTGGACGAATGACAACATTATCTACACAATATCCATGTTTATTGACTTTTTGCATAAAATCTTTATAGTATTTATCCAATTTTTGAACAACTGCACAATTGTTTATATCCGACCTACTTTTTTGAGGACCTCTCTTTTGTTGGGGACTGAATTTGCATTCGTGCTCTTTCTTAACGCATCGTTCACATGGGCCATTGTCTGAATATTTACATCTAACTTTTGACTTTTTACAAAGATTACAAGCTGCGGAAGTGTTAGTTCTATTGGTTTTAGACGTAAGTCGCTTGTTAATTCTATTGATTTTGGACGTAGGTCGTTTATTAATTCTATTGGTTTTAGACGCAGGTCGTTTGTTCAGATCCTCGTTAGGTGGTGTCAAGTCGATTTGATTACAAATATCTAATGGATTAACAATCTCTTGATAAGGATTAGTATTCGATTCATAATGTAAATCCCTTGTTTCTATTGCCGGAGTAGAAGATGCAGAATTATTTATTGAATGAGTCGAAATTGTTCTTGTGGTATCAGCGGAAGGTAATGATTGATTAACTGGTAATTGTTGATATCGATATCTTATTAAATGAGGCCACTTTTCTGTATATAGACGGTTTGCAGTATTTGCAAGATTTGCATATACTAGTTTCACAGTTGGCTGTTCATGAATCCAAAATAGTGATATAATATTATTGAGAGTAATTCCTCGCGAACGAAGCTCTTTACAATAAATTTTGAAAGCATTATAAGGATGATCTCTATTTGGTTCTGAAACTAAACTTTCGATATTAATTGTCGGAATAAAAGGAGGTTTTGCGAATAAAGAAGGAATACTAGTATTATATGATGGAGAGCCAAAATCAGATTGTTCGTAATGAAATGAGGTTGGATAATTGTCATCCATTATTCATTTGTTTAAAGAAAAAATTTTTCGGTAAGACGACTTTTATTTATACTGAACTTTTTAGAATTGTCACCTAAAAAAAATTTTTTAGGGACGTACGTACGTACGTACGTACAAACTATATCCTTTTCTTGATTGTATTACGATTCGATGAATGATTACTATAAAAAAGGAATTACAATTGCGCTCGAAATTGCACTTGAAGAATCCCACTTTTGTTCACAAAGAAAAGTTTAACGGCCACTTGATACTTAAAAAAAAAATATAGTTCGCGATAAATAGTATTATTAAAATGAAAATCATTATACGTACGTACGGTCACGAAAATGCGTCCAATATGAGTTGCGTTACTTTGCTAGAAACCGAAGTTCTCCGTTACTATACTTGTTCAGAAATTCCCTATATAATTTGCCATTTAGAGTCTTGGACATATGATGATACGTACGCATACATATGTAACGCACGTACTGTACGATAAACGAATTATATTCATTCCTTTTTACATATATATGAATTTTTTTATAATACGCGCATTACTAATAGGGATATAAGCATTATAATTATATTTTCATTATCTATAAATTCGGTTTAAAAAATTAAATTTTGAATTATGTTTATTTGAACTGAGTAAAAATCTTTTTTTGTTGATTATGTATCACGAATTATCCCTGAATGTAAGAACTAAAAGAAGAGAGAGAAAAAACCAATAATTACACGAACGTAATAATGCGTTTGGACAAAGAAATAAACGATTGAATTTGAAAATATGACGTATATAGATAGCATACTATACCTCATATTACGCCATCTAATAAAGTTTAGCTGAAGTGTTGCAGCCTACATATAAGCAAGGGGTAAAGGTGAAACGAGAATGCAGCAGTAAAAGTTACTGTACAACGTATCGGTATGGCAATAGGTATATAGTACAGGGGTCGTGCAAAAATTAGGTTTTGTAACACACAACTTACTTATCACTGTTTTAGTCAATTATAAAAGAAGCGACAGTCATATTATTAAACCTTTTTTTTTTTTTTTTTTTTTTATGAAAAAACAATTATTGATTCGTACCCCTGAGCAAATCGAGGAGGGATATAAATAAAGGATACCTCATATGGGAATTTTATGGTTATAGACTTCTTTGATTATCGAACCTCTTTTAACCACTAAACTGATAAATTTGACTTAAATTATATAATTTATTGTTATATGGAAGTCAATTGACATGTATATCACTTTAAAAATTTCCCAAATATATTATATCAAATATTGTATGGGGTGTCACGTATTAAATGACAAATTTTAAATTTTAAAAAATTTTTTTTATTTGATTTTTGAATATATATATATAATAAAAAAGTTTTCTACAAGTTACAAATGCTGCTTATACAATAAAAAGATTCACAAAACGAACTTGAAGTAGGAAATTTATGTGTTACTATTTGTAGATCTTTTTTTTCTTTTTTTTTTTTTTGTAGAAAATTGCATAGCTTATTTAAAATGGAGTTTACTAAAACGCACCTATGGTGTTTTACACCTATGTATGTGTTTTCTCAAAACTGGCTAATTAATCGGCATAAAGTATTCTAAGTAAAAATGTTCTGACTTAAAAATCCAAAAATTTGTATTAAAAATTTATATACAAAACTTATAAAAACTTAGAAAAATATAAGAAAAATATATGATAGGTGTAAACCACCATTGGTGTGTTTTATAATAATTGATTTAAAATTATATTACAAGAATAAGCTAAATAATATAGTAATTAGAATAGAATTGTCACCCAAAAAAATTTCAAACTATATTTCGAAATAAAATTTTGGTTTGTTAGATTAGGGTTAGGGTGTTGCTTCTAGGTTAGGGTTTAGAGTGCTTTATTATATCAAAATTTTGCAAGGAAAATTTTTTACTAATGCGCAGAAGGCTCTTTCATAGACTCATTTTTGAGTTATAGGCGATTTTTGACAAAACGAACGTTGTTTTGAATTTTCCTGATCGTGCTACGTTACACATGATCTTGAAATTCGATTGGCCAGTGAAATTTTTTTGTGTGGCGATTTTACCCCAGTTAATATAGTTGCTAAATCACCTCCTATTTCTCTATTTATAAACTAATTTAAGCTTAGCTACTATTAGTTACAGAAAAGGGTGAAGGGCCCCCATATATAACTGATAAGAACTCATAAGCTGATTACCTCTTTCTCGCTTTAAGTAAAATAAATTTACCATTACTTAACCACATATTGTAGATCTTTCATAAAAGAATAGACTATTAATATCTGATCTTCTCCCGACTGGTCAGTTAATTACTCCCTAAATTTTGAAAATCAATGGTAATAATTAGTTCAACTTAAAAATAAACCGAATCAGTTAAAGTTCATGTCTAAACACGAGTTCACTTGAAAATTGAAATAAATATTAAAGATGAAATCAATATGAACTTTAATCCTAGGAATCTTAGCGATACTGTTTTAAACGCAATTGCATATATATTAGGATATATTATCTGACCGCTTAATTTGGAAACGTATCAAAGTAATTAATATTAATGCGGCTGAACCTGACATAATCTTTATTGCTGTATAGCCGTGAAATACAGTAACGCACATGCACATTTTTTTTGTGACGCCCATGTGCTTTATTTTGAAATAAAGAATAAATTTTTTTGAACTGAGTATATCAGGTCAAAACCGTTGAAGACATTGAGCTAAGACATGCTACACAAAGTTCAAAATTTAGTGTTCATGAGAACACTATTAAATATATGCACTCAATCTAAATTTTTTATTGTTATATATCGACCATTTTTTTGTGAACAATAAAATAATATTTGTGTTCTCAATGTAATATATATTTGTCAATTAAATATCAATTTTTTTTAGAGAACACAGATTAATAAGTTGAGGAATATTTTGACCTAATATAATGTTCCTTGAGAGCAGTCTTTGAATTTAAAATTTTTGACGCATGAATGAGCATTATTCTGAACTAAATGTGATACTTTTAAAGAATTTTATTTTCAAACCATGCCAACAAATGTTGTTTCACAGCTATATGATAATTCTTGTTACATAATCTTTAAATGCTTATACTTTGATGAGTTTAATTTTACGTACATTTGTTATTTGAGTCAGCAAAAACTTATTATAAAAATACAGCAACTTGCTTAATAAAAATCTTTTTTAATGTAAAATAAAAAAAGTTCATACGTATATAATTTAAAAAAGTAAACTCTGTCTTTACCCCTAAATGTACTGTACAATGTAATATGCAAAACAATCTGATCAATTCAAATAATTTTATAAACTAATACCACTTTGTAAGTTTTGATAACTTTATCAGAAATGTACTTTTTAAACTTTTTTAGGAAATTTTATTCCATTTTAGACAATTCCGATCAATTTTATTCCAGAAAATTAGCTCGGCTAAGCCGATCGGCTCGCGGCTTTGTGGAGTCACTACAATACCGGTTTAACGTAAAGTATTTGTCTGCACGTAATCGCTTTTAAAATTTCAATCTGAGCACAAGAATAATCGAATGATGAGAATTTTAAAGAAATAATTGAAGTTTTTTACTTTATTATTCATTTATTTGTTCATATTATTTATCAAAATTTAAGAATTTACTTAATTATCACAACGAATTACATTCGATTCGAATATTTAAAATGCATTTATACTCAGATTCAAAATTTTTTGAATACACGTATAAAGCTTTAAATTTGAACTTAATGCTACCAATAAAAGGTGTTTTTTTACGTCCACTCAAAGCTTCTTTTCTCGTTCGAAATCTTTAACGTCATCTACCATTTTTTGAATAGGTTTAAAGTTCGATTCAATTCAATACTTCAAAGCTATTTTTTTTGCTTGGGAAGATTGTTAGGCTTTTCAAGATAATCAAGCGTCTAAAACATAAAATTAATAAAAGATATTTATTTATGTAAATACGAAAATATGATAATAAAAAATTATTATCTCATGAAGAGTTTTTTTATATTTTCTTAAAATTTAAGATTCGAATTCACTATCTTCAGTACTCGATTCCTCATTATGTATATTTTGGTTTTCTGTATTTAAAAGATCAATCGTTAAATTGACTTGTGCTTGGTTAATTAAGGTTGATGATCGAATATTTTCCCATAAAATTTCCTTAGCTTCCGTAATAAAAGGATCCTAATTAAAAATATTGATTTTTTTTACATATATATATATAATAACAAACCTTCCAGAAAAATGATGCACCTATCTTCCCAAGAATATTAACAAGATATCATGGTTCCCTATTGCGTTGTTTACTTTTATCAACATTTTTTTCATCTATTTACAAATCCAAATTAAGATAATTAAAATAGGATATCTATCTGGATATCCAGTTAGATATTCGGATCCAAGCACTATTGTAAACTGCTTATCACCTTTTTTTTGAATAGATAAAATTATAAAGAATATACAGTCAACTCTGTCTATTCTAAACTACCCATTCTTGTATATTTAGTTTAGTTCTCAAAGAGGTATTATATACTAATTTGAACTTTATAATAAAATTTATAAATGTTTTAGAGTTTTAGATTTGAATTAGAGATTCAAATTAGAGAGAGTTGACTATAAATATAAAATTTTAGATACTCTTCTTTATAAAAAATTTCAATTTGCTCTAATAAAGGAAAATAAGCATTTTTCAAAAATTAATTTTGGTAGCATCTATAGTTCAGAGTAAAGAACTTATATTCTATACTTAATTCAATTACTATATTTAAATATCACATAATCTATTTACTAAACTATAATTGAATAAAACTCTACTACTAAACTTATTTGATTAAAATATTCAAATATTCTATATGTAATCTACCTTCTAAACTATAATTAGGTAAAACTCTACTATTAGACATGTTTTGATCAAAAATGTCTAGATATTTACATATAATATAAACTATAATTAGACAAAAATTACTACTATGTCTAGATATTTAACATGTAATATACAGTATAATAAATGTATA